GGAGTTCACATCTCCTTTTCCCCTACTGAAGTATATGCTATGCATGTACTGGCATATATGCACCTACTGGAGTATAGGCTGAGCATTTACTAAAGGTCACCTGCATGCTACACCACCATGCTTTACATGAGGCTCACAGCGTCTCCCCCTGAGAAACTCAGCATTTGTTGGAGAGAAAAGGCTAGTTCCCACAGAGACAGAAAACAGAAGCAACTGAAATGTTGGTCTGTCCACACTGTGCCCCTGCTAACCCTCTTCAGTGGCTCATATTACAGTTTGGATTTTAAACATTACCTGAAGGCCTGTATGCTAAAAGCCCTGAAGGCCCATATGTTTACCAGCCTGTGGTGCTACTGGAAGGTAGTGAAACATTTCACGAGCAGGCCCTAGTGTGAGAGAGCTAGGTCACTGGGGTCATGGCCTTGAAGAAGATATTGAATTCTCTCTCTCTCACTCTCTCTCTCTCTCTCTCTCTCTCTCTCTCTCTCTCTCTCTCTCTCTTTCTCTCTCTCTCTTTTTCTCTCTCAGTCCCCTCTCTTCTCCTCTCCTCTCTTCTCCCTACTCCTCCTCCTTCCCTCTTCCCTCTTCCCTCTCTTTCTTTCTCTGTGTTTTCCAGCCACTGTAAGGTAAAACACCACCCAGTGCTTCTACCATAACCCGCTCTATTGCCACACCCTCCCAAACCAATGGAGTCAAATCACCATGGGCTGAAAATTCTGAAACTGAACAAAAATAAAACTTTCTTCCTTATAAGTCATTTTCTTCAAATGTTTCATCACAGCAACAGAAAGGTGGCTAACACAGGTCCACATCATCTATCACTTAAATCTATAGCTCCTCGGTATCCTCAGTAGGGTCTTTAGGGTCTGACTCGGTTTAAAGCCTTGTCTGTTATTGCTTCTTCCTTAAACCTAGTCTTACACATTCCACCCCTACCCAGCTAAGACTCAACTGAGCGATCTCCCATTCACAGGTTTTTGCTCGAGCTACCCACTCCACTGTGATGCTCTTCCCCTCACTGCCCACCTGAGGGACATTCTTATTCTTCAAGATATATGTCAAGACTGAACACATCAGCTCTTCTGGGAAGCTTTTCATACACCCACCTCCATGCAAGGGGAAATGGACTACTTCCTCCCACCTTTGTACTTCTGCTAAATCAAACACAAACCGAGTCAACGCCACACTGGGAGAAGTCTACTCCCCATCAAGAGCAGCCTGAAGGCAAGATCTGCTTGTGTTTCTGTCCCCAAGATAGGATCCAGCATAAAATAGCCTCTCAATACACATCTGTTTTCCTCAAAGCTCTGAATTAATAGCCTGTCAATATGTCCAAGCCCTAGTCCCAAGGGGCTTCAGTCAGTTCCCCAGGCTATACCCCGATATGGGTGGCAAGGACTCTGACCTCTCTCCTTGCTCTCACACCCCCTCACAGTCCTCCTTCTTCTCATTCTATAACTTAACTTTCACAGTGAGAGCCTGGGAGTCAACACCAATGTGTGAGAAAGCAGAGAAGATAAAAAGGAAATTACAATCTTAAGGGTGACAGCCCTGAAATGTTTGAAAAGTGCCTGAGGATTCAGCTTCACGGACTTAGCAAAGTAGATTCAAATTAAATGCAAATTTCCCACTTCCTCACTCACTACTAGTACCTGGTTTAGCTAGCAATCCTTGGATGGAAGGACCTTCCTGCTCTTCTCAGGTCCCCCCTATGGTACCTGTCCTATAGTCCCATGCAGTGAGAGGACAAGAAAGAAGAGCTCCCAGAGGGGACTTCTGGAAACCCTACCCAGCGTGAGGCCTTCTGGAGATGATCCCATGAGAAGCAAGCTTCTTGCAGGAAGATGTGCCTGTGTGTGCTCTGTAAGGGAAGTGGACAGCTGGGAGAGCAGACAGATTATTTCCTATGAACATTTATCACCCGGAGGACTCAGCATTCTCTGTAGAGAGCAGAAATGACAGGATGTGTCTCGCAGGACAGAGGATGAGGTGACGGTATCAGGACCCAAAAACATGAGGAGACTAGACTTGAGGAGGTAGAAGAGAGGGAGTGCAATCTAAGAAAGTTCAAGTTTACTTACAGCACTTCCTCAGATCTCTGGGGACCTCAAAGGAGCCTGGACACCACCAAGGTGGGGAAAGTTAACCTTAACTTCAATTCCAAGCACAGAGATAGATAGCATTTTTCCAGGAGACTCTGTCTGTCCTGGAGACCAAGTGCCTCAAAGTCGTATACATCATATTTGGAAAAGTCTAGATGGGAGGTCTCAGCTTTGGCAGAGAGCTCAAATTGAGAAGGGACCATAGTGGCTGACAGCCTGGCAAGCATGTTGGACTTTTGTTCTGACTTAGCAAAGCAGGTCTATCATTCAGATTCACGCAGAAACCAGCTATAAGCCAAGTGACTCAGTCAGAAGGCAAGGACTTGGCTTACTTTTGTCCACTATGCTCTAAACAGGCTGACTGGGTTTGCTTGTTTCAGGACCAAGGACAGCTCCCTGGCCTGTTTAGAGGACGCCCTTGGGATAACAGCGAAACTGGAGCACAGAGGGCTTTTGCTAACTAAGAGTATAAGTAACTGGAGAAGAACACCTGTGCTCACCTGAGTTCTTTTCTTTTAGCCAAAGCACAACTCAGCTGCAACATCCCTCCCCCAACATTTTTTAATATGCAGGAAGAGAGCATTTGTCAAAGCATAGCTGAGGATGTGCAGAGAAAGACTCCCTTAAAGGACTCAACAACATGAGCTAAAAATAACTTCTCTTCCACTTGCAATAAACCATATTTCCTCAAAGGGGCTTTGCCAACTTCCGGTATTGTCATTCACTCTCTCTAGGTAAGTAGAAAAAGAACTGAGTAGAAAAGAGATTGAGAGAAAATTAGAGGATGTGTATAACTGAAAGTCCACCCACAATACACTAAGTTACAAAGTCACAGCAAATTGTTAAGGATAGAATTATAATAAGTAGAATTGTGCTCCATTATAATAGAATACAAATTAATTCCTCTCTTTGTACACTAAATTTAAGAAAAAAAATATTAGACATAAATAACAGCTCAAGTGGTGAACTGATTTTGGTGGAGCAGGAAGCTTGAACACTGAAATCCACAAACAACTTTCATTACCTCACTGAGTGGCCAGGAATGAATAACTTAACCTCTCTAGGCCTCAGTTTCTTTATTTGTAAAACAATGATACAACATCCACTCCACTCACTTCTGAGTGAACAAAATGACCCAGGCTCTGAACACCTAGAGGGGCTTTCACATGACTTTGGAGATTGGATCTAAAACACTCCTCAAAATAACCAAGCCTCAACCACTGTAGTCAAACTCATTAATAATGGCCGGTGGCCTACTTGGCGGTGTGTCCCCAAGGACTGAAATTAATTAACCTCATGGATCCCTTTCCAGAATATCTTCTAATTTATATTACTGCATACAACATAAAAATTCAAATGGCTACAAAACTAGGTGGTTCCATAAGTAAGTGGAGACGCCAGGCTGTGAACAGGGAAGAGTGAAGGCTGTGGCAGGAGGCTGAGTGCAGACCCATGCCCAATCCAACCATGAAATGGCCACCAAGCTCTAGCAGCAGGCTAGAGCATGTGGGACTAAGACTAATGTCAACAATAATTCCAACACTGTAGCATAAACCAGGAGTGTTGGTTGATTCTTATGTGGAATCTCCAAGAAGCTGGGTTTTCTTTTTGCTCTTTTTGGTGTTGTGTTTTGTTGTATTGTGTTGTGTTGCATTTTGTCTTTTTAAAAACTGTAGTTTATAAAGAAACACTTGTGAGGGCCAAGACATTTCATCAGGAAGCTAGATTTCACCCACAACCCACCTACCTCTGTCTAGTAATAATGCATGCTTCCTGATTTGATTTATTTTTAAACGCTTATTGCTCATGTTGGTTTCAAGCCAAAAATAAAAATAATAACCTACTGAGCCATCCTCCATTGGACAGGGGTTTCTCTTACCACTGGTATCTGTGCACCACTGACCACATGGGCGGCAGTGGCTCCACATGGGCGGCGGGCCAATGATCATAGCACGCTGCACTGTTCCTGTGCCTCCCTCTGCCCAGCCAGCCCTGCCAAATCAGCCAGCCCTTCCAGCAAAGATCTTTGGAGATGAAGAGGAACACTGGAATATAATTTACATGTTGTCCTGGGGTAAAATTGGATGTTTCTGTCAATTCTTGTTTCCTGAATTTTACAAGCTCTGCAAATTAAGTGCAGCATATACCATTGTTGCTTGCGTTGTTCTGTGACAAGCAAGGCAGAACTGCTGGACCTCAATATGCCACTGGGGATGAAAAGTATTAATTGAAGCCACAGGCATTGGTTTTCCCCAAGCCTCCCATGTGCACACAATCAATGCATCCCACCTTCACTTGGTTACTACCAGTAAACTCTCTCTCTCAGGTGGATATATTATTTTGGTTTCTCTCTTTTTTCCAGACTGATTACTGAATTCTGTCCGCAAACCCAACTCCAACCCCCTCAGCATCTCTGAAGAGGCAAAAAGGCCAATTTGGGTGAGTATTTATATCCAAGGGCATGTGTACCAATGGAGGGGGGTAATAGAAGGGTTACATGTTGGATTTTTCCATTATATTTTTACTCCTTTCTTGTCAATAACAGCAACAACATCAAGCCAGCTCTAGGAACAAAAGAAAAAAGACAGACCAGACCTTAACAAAAGTTCAGATGCTTGGATGCATAATGAGCAAAGTAAAGTCCACATCCCTAGCTGGTAAGCGTCTTGAAGGCAGCACCAAATATCTGCCTTGGGCAGCTGTGTCCTCAATTGCCAGGACAGTCTGATCTCTTCCTTTAGTACACAAAGATGAAATTAATGTAGGAGAAATGAGTGATTCCAAGGAGTAATGGGTGGGTTTCTGAGAGCACCATGTCTAACTTACCTGTGTCTATAGATCAAGAATGATTCTAGGGTTGTGTTTGAAAGAAGAAAGAAGGAATATATTTAGATAAACTTCTGTGAAGTTAATTTTTATTTAATAAGAACTATTTTACATATATGCATACAAACGCAGGCTGAGGTTGTTGAGACACAGTTGACAGCAGTGTCCTCACCTGCTGCCAGGGGATGAATCACTGTGTCCTCTGCAGAAGCTGGGGGTCACTAGGATGCTTTCTCTTCTTCCAAGTACACGGCAGGACTGTGCTTAGCTGCCCTTACCACTCATGTTGAATGATCAAATAGGAAAAAATTCTGAGTACCGATGTGTGATTCAGCATATTCCTTTTTATGGTCCTCTTGTTACAGTGACCATAATTGCTTCAGGTTGGGGTGGAGTTGTCATCCCGGGTCTCACAGGACAGTGCAGAGCAGACTCCCAAGAATCTGTGATGGACATGAAGCAATAACAAGAAATAAACCTTTGTTCCTTCAAACCAGAGGGATTTAGGGTTGCTTATTACCACATGAGCTGATTTATCTTGACTGACAGGAAGGTTTATTTGGCAATATCTATCAGTATTTAAAATGTTAATACTTTAAACTCTGTAATATCAATCTTAAGACTATTGCAATTTCTGTAACACATATTCATTCTTACACATATGCAAAGTGATATGTGTATGGGGATATTTGTGTTGAGCAACAATCATCGGAAACAAATTTGATCAGCTTCTTCTTGTTTTTTGCTTGAATGATTAATAAGTCATGGAATTAGTTGGTCACAGTCATGTTGACTTTGGGGAAGAGTCAGAAATCATACAGTACAAAACCTGATGAATCAAGCTATTGAGGACACATCATAATGATTTTACAAGCCTACTTTTCCACTGGATGGAATTTGGCAGCAGCATTCAATATATTTTCTATCACACCTCATAGACATTCACAAAAGAGGACTTCCAGAACTGCTTCAGAAACTGGCAAGAACACTGGGTAAGTTTGTTTTGAGAATACTTTGAAGGGGATGAATGGCAGCATGTCTTCTACTGTAGTGAATTTTTAATTTAAACATTTACTGTATATTTTTATAACCTTCTTTGTACTTTATTTGTATGCAAAGTAAAGTCCACATCCCTAGTTGGTAAGCATCTTGAAGGCAGCACCAAATATCTGCCTTGGGCAGCTGTGTCCTCAATCGCCAGCACAGTCTGATCTCTTCCTTTAGTACACAAAGATTAAGCCATCCTTGCATCCCAGGGTAAATCCCAATTAAATTCCAGGATAAACCTGGAGGACGTTATGCTAAGTAAAATAGATTAATCACAGAAAGACAAATTCTGCATATAATAAATGTATAGGCAGCCTAAAAAATATAATCAAACTCATAGAGTTAGACAGTAGAACGTTGGTTAGTAGAGGAGAGACTAGGAAATGGGGAGATGCTGGTCAAAAGGTACAAAGTTTCAGTTATAAACAAGGAATAAATTTTGGTGATACAAACCATAACAAGGTGATTGTAGTTAATAATAATATATTTTCCATTTCAGAATTGCTAAAAGTTCTAAACACAAATATTTTGAATTCAAAAAATAAGTAAACAAGAAAATGGACATGTTAGTTAGCATCTTTCAATCATTCCACAATGTCCACGTGCATTAAAAGATCACAATGTACCCTACAAATATACTTACTTGTCAATTGAAAATAAAATTATGATAATAACTTTAAGAAGAAATAATGCAAAGGGGTGTGTGTCCTAAAATGCTTTATGTTCATTGAGAATTTGCAAATCACAATGAAAGTGAAGGTACTTTATTCATTTATGAATCCATTTCTCCATCCATCTGTGCATATCCCTCCTTTTAAATATGTCTCCATCCATCCATTATACACACTAAGATAAAAATTGGATAGGTTACCCAAAAAGTGAATTCTATTCTGTGTTGGTTGCCTATGATTTTGGTTAAAGGAATTCACCTAGAGATAGAGGGCTGTATAGTATGGGAAGTAAAAGTATGTGTGATTTGCAGCCAGTTAGAGCTGGGATACAGCCACGTTTCCTTGAAAAAAAACTTGGGACCTTAAACAAGTTTCTTAAACTTTTTGGGCCTTGAAATTCTCATCTATAAAATAAACTTAACTGACTAGTTTAATTTAAATGCTCTTATAGCTCAGGATGGAAATAAGGTCTTGTTTTGAAGAAACACAACCCTTACAGAAACTGAAAAATTTGCTTTCACTTTCCTGAAATATTCCGAGAGACTCAAGGGAGAAATGTAAATCCTTGGCTATGTCCTGCTTGTCACATGGCCTGTGTGCATCCCTGTCTCAGCTCCTGTCAAGTGCCCTCTCCACACGGCTTCCCTGTATCTACTCCAGCTGGAGGTGGTGACTATAGAAACCCTGCTCTTTTTTAGACACCTAAGCTGCCCTAGTCTTTCTGGTCTATCTATACCATGCCTACACTTTTGTAAAGAATCCTTACTAAAATATCAGATTACCCTTACTGGACTGTTCCAAGTGTTTTCAGCTGAGCTCTTATTCATAGAGCACTTACATCCCTCACCCAGTGCGGGGATTCGAGTTCACAAAGATGAGAAATAAACAGATTATCTCACCTTTTTCAAGGTTCTTATCTTATGGGGAAAGCAGAAATGCAATAGAAAACTACAAAAAAGCTTTCAGGTAACACAATATAAAGATCAACTCAAAAGTATGCAACATAGAAGGAACAGGCACTGTTGTGGGGGTGAGTTTGGGTGAGTCACCAGTTAAGGCTTTCTTGGGGGATGGACTCCCCATCTGAGGCTTGAAGGGGGATGACCCACTCCACTGGAGGACAAGGTGGTTAAGGCAAGTTTTAGAAAACACATCGTCATTCAATGTGTGAATAAAAACACAGTAATTTCCTCCAATGCCTGGGACTCGCTTTGTAGACAAGAATGGCAGGGGAGAGGATTGACATAATTTAGTAAACGGTATCTACTTATGTCCCTTATTCTGCCTATCAAAGACATTTTTCACTTTGTCATCTATTGTCTTATTATCACTCACCACCAGAATATAATCTTGGAACAAATAAAAATCCCCAGCTGTCGCCAACCTTTTTAGCACCAGGGCCCAGTTTTGCGGAAGACAAACTTTCTACAGGTTGAGGGGGGCACTGTATTCAGGAAGACTGAAGCACATTACATTCATTGTGTGCTTTATTTCTATAATTACGGCATTAGATTTCCAATAAGGAGTCAGCAACATAGCTCCTGCACATGCATAGTTCACAGTAGAATTAATTCTCTTATGAGAATCTAATGCCACTGCTGATCGACAGGAGGCGGAGCTCAAATAATGATTCAAGTTGGGGAGCAGCTATAAATACTGTCCAGATGAAGTTTCTCTCACTAGTTTTCTGCTCATCTCCTGCTGCACAGCCCAATCCCTCAGAAGTCCAGGGAGAGTTGTTCTGAATCAGACAGAAGAAGGGGATGGGAGGTTTTCATATCACCCCTGCACACTGGGGGAGGGCTGCCCACACTAAGTGAGATCACAAGTGGAACTGCTCACTTTCTATGTTACTTTTCTTTTCCATCTCCCACAATTACCCTTCCCATCCCCATCCAGTGTGAATTAGGTACACACGTGAAGCAGTAGGGTTTTGTCTATTCAGTGCCAAAGAAAGGGGAATTATCTCCTTTTCTTTCCTGAAAGCATCTTCTACAGAGGTTTGCTCTGATGAAAGAGACAAATTAATCTGACATGAGGCCAAAAAGACCCTTCATTCTGTCCTCTGTCCTCCCAAGGACAGACCTCAACCAAAAGAAGAACAAAGACAATGAGGAGCAGGGAGAGGAGGACAAGGAGGAGAGATAAAAACGAGAGAAGCTGCCGCCGGTACCAGCAGAAGCCTAACTGTTGACTGCCGCTCAGTGGCAACTTTTTCTCCATTCATCCAGTACAATGGCAGCTGCAGAACTTGAGAGGGAAAGCTTAACCTATACTGTCTTTAAGAAGTGAACCCTGTGATGTGGTTGTATGTTTGAAACTTTAGGAAGCTTGAAGCTTTGGGTTTGGTTATTTCTTAAAATCTTCTTTAAAGATTATCCTGATAGGGCAAAGAAGGCACATGTTTGAAAGCCTTCAGAAGACCTAAGTTCAAGCCTAAATCTTATCCTCACCTACCATGTGGCCTTCTCCAAACCTGACTCACTGGGCCACAGTTCCTGCCCTCCTCTTGCCTTGATCCTGATTTCTCTAAACCTACTCAGTTCCTACCATTGTGAACTTTTCTGAAGGGCATTTCAAGTAGTATCAGCTTATTGCCCTGCCCTGTTCTTCACCCAGGGTGAGTATAGAAATGAAGAATGCTCAGAATATAGTCACAAGGAGACAAGAAGGTAAACATCATGAGCTTCTGGGGGAAACTCTGAGATTCCAGAGGCCTACAAGAGAGCCAGAGATTGGATCATACTGAAGTTCTTCAAAATTAACTCTTGGGGGAATTATTTTAGTTGTCTATACCAGAAGTCACACTAACACAAAAACTTCTGTAGGTGCTGCAAATCCTCCTAAGACTTGGAGAATGACCCTTGGTATTATACTCTCACCTCCAGTAAGCCTCCTTTTCCTCCTTTAGTTTTCCCCAACCTTCCTGCACAGACTCTGGGGCTTTGTATCCTTGCACTGGTGAACTCTTGTGACTCCGTTTCACCTCAGTGTCCACATGGTCCACAGGTGCCCACAAGGTGCCAAGACCTAACTAGAGGCCAGAAGGAAGAGCCATAATATGCATAGTGCTTACTGGCTTCTCAGTTGTCACTCTGACCTCCCAGATAGGCCTCTTGGCACTGTGTCCAAACCATTTCCCCCAGGGATATCTGCTGGATTTATAACTTAACCGCCTTCAGGCTTTTCTCAAATATTTCTTCTCTGCTAAAAAATGAAATACCAGCCAGATATGGTGGCACTTGCCTGTAATCTCAGAATTCTGAGAAGCTGGTGATGATGAATGATGATGAACGAAGCTTCAAACAATGATGCAAGGGGATCTGAGCCTGAACCCAGTGACTCAGCAAGACTCTCTCAAAATATTAAATAGTGTTAAAAATTTAAAAAGGCCAGGAATGTGGCTCAATATGAAGGCTCTAGGTTCAATTCTCAATACTGCAATTAATTAATTAATTAATTAATTAAAACAAAATGCCACTTTGACCCTTTCATCTCTTTTCCTTTCCTCATTTTGTAATTAGAATCTATTACCAGAATGACGTCAGCAACCGTGGTTAGAAAGTAGGAATCTTCAAAGTTCTTTCCACCATAAAAAGGGTGGGAAATACTACAAAAATTATCAGAGTCAAATTTTTCAGAACTCTGGAAATTAACCAAAAGCCTGCAGCAACGTGGGCAACATTTATTCTTGAACAGAGGCAGAATCTGATTAACCAAAGAAA